TTAGCCCAGAACTTTCTTCTAAACTTCAGACTTACATATCCACATTTGTTTGACATAATTTTGAAATATCTTAAATTTAACATATCCAAAATTATTTTCTCTTCCTTCCATGCTCCCTGAATCAGTAAATGGTTTATTAATCTATCTAGTTACTTATGGAGTCACCTTTAGTGTTCCTCTTTCCTTAGGGTAACTTCCTGGCAAATAAATTCCTATTAAGTTCCTTTGGATTCACCTTCAATTTATGTTGTATCTTGAAATTATCCAACTCTGTCTGTCTCTAAGGCCATTACCCTAGTTCAGGACACCATTATCTCTGGCCTTGACTAATGGAAGTGCTGCAAAACTGGCCTTCTAGAGCAACTCTCCTGCCCTTTTCCAAACTATTCCCTACAAGCAGTCTGAGTGAGCCATAAATATGTAAAGCACACCCTACTCACTGCTCTCTGCCACTGCCCAGTGACTTAGGATGCATTCCAAAATACAGTATAAAGTCTACAATTCAACCAAAAGAGCCTGAAGGGTCTGGCCCCTGCTTCATCTCAGCCCAAACCTACTCGTTGCACTCCACTACACCAAGTTCCTTTCAGGTCCTAGAACAAAGTTCTTTCATTGTTGGAACATTCTTTTTAGGCTTTTTCATGTGACAGGAGCTTAAACGACGCTTCTTCCAAGAACTTTATCCTGAGAATCTCAGAATTAAACCATAATTCCAGGCACTAATTTTCCTTCATAGTATGATCACGATTTATAATTATGTATTGCTTTATGCTTTAACGTCTCTTATTTCTATTACGCCTTGGAGTCCATCATTTGTTATGTTCACTTATATAATCGAATGCCTAACACGGTGTTGGGGCATCGAAGACAGTAAGTGTTTAATAGTGCAAAATCAATGTAAAGGCTGGAAGGGGCCACAAGAGCAACATCTACTACTCCTCAGCGAGTAGTAGTTATCTAGTGTGTGGAGATAGAGGAGACAGGTCCTTTACCTGCTCATTCAGGTAGGCTTCCTCGCTACCCTTCCCTGGAAATATTTGCTGTAGGGAAGCTGTGAGAGACAACTCTCTCTAGGTAAAAGAGGCAGGAGGGAGAGGGGAGCCTTATTTTTGAGCGATTGCATTAATATCACCAGAGACATTTTGCAATCTCCCGGTTCAGGTGAGCGAGGAGCTAAGATCTATCCCAAAGAGGGCGCGGATCTAACGCGGGTCCCGGGAAGGGGTGGGACTGCGTGTTCTCACAGAACCTGATTGGTCTGAGAGCGCTGAAGGGAGGGAGCTTGATTCGGCAGAGATCAGCCACGTTGGACGCGGAGCTCCTCCGCGGAAGGAGCTCTCCCTGGCCCCACAATGCCTTGCGTGGCCGCGTCACTCGGAGCGGCGAGCCGCGACTCGACAGGTACTAACCGCCCCCCTCAATCCTCATTCCTCCCTTCGTGGGGTCGCTGGAGCCCTAGTCAGCCGCTCTGTTGGCTGGCTTCATCTCCCGCCACGGCCTCCGCCCTCGCCATCACTACAAACTCACACGCGGCAGGAATCCAGCCGAGCGGTGGGGGCGAAAGCCGCGCAGCTCTGGTGGGGCTTGGGGGACCCTTTCCCTTTCCACTTGAGGGGGTCTGTGGGGCCGCGTGGGCGGCGGTTGCCCCGTCGGCTACCCTGCCTTAAGTACCGGGCATTCAGAGCAAGGGGCTCGACGGAGACTGTGGGCTGTCGGAGTCGGTGGGCATTTCCTGACGCCTAGGTGTCAGTAACACGGAGATCCACCTAGGCTGCTCCGGTGATCCGGAAAACTTGACGTGGCATTTCTTTTAGGCAGTGTGGGATTGGGAGTAGTGGCTGACTCTGTGCTTTGTGGGAATTGAATGACCTAAAATGTGCCTGTGTAAACTCGGAAACCTCACGAGGCCCGATTAGTGGCACTTGGGATTGTTATGTCTTTAAGGGACCTGAACGATTGACACGACAGGTGGATGAGGGCTTGGGGAGGCCGAGCCCCAGGTGACTTGAATCTATTTGCCAATGAAGCCAGCTTTCGACTTTTCTCGTACTCGTTAGTTTCATGGGCAATTGGAGAGCTTGAGAACAAGCCCCTCCTATGGGTTTCCAGCCAAGGCAAAACCCTGAGTTACAGTGTTTCACACTGGTGAATTAGCCACTCTTAAAAACTCTGAATCACATTTCCCATTACAGGCATTTGCTCAGGTGCTGAGATAATAAGGAATCAGGCAGTATTTAAAGCGATACCTATAATTTCTGGTGTATGAAGCTTTTAGTTCAGTATTTGAATCTCATAGCCATGCATTTCCTATATTGAGAACTGTGATGTCAGTTTAATGCCTTTTTGGTGCCTTTTGGTTATACTGAAAATCTCAGTATATTTTATATTGGTGAGTGAAAGAAACTCAGGTCACAGCAACCAAAGAAGTCGTCCTTTCCTTATAGTTGAGTAGAGAACCTTGGTTATTTTGAGAAGTAGTGTTTCACAGGGTAGCCACGAGCTTAAATCCTACTCTGTTGCTGACTAGCTTGAACATATTTGACTGAAGGGTGAGTGGAACATGTGCACATAGGAAGAGCAAAGGTGTAACCCCTACAATTAAAGTAAAAATTAAAAAAAAAAACAAACACGAGAAACCCAGGTAAGCAAAATAAATCAAATGGAGGGTCAAATTAGAGACTTCAAGTTTAGTAAAATAATAAGATTGAATGAAGTACCGAACCCCTCTGAGCTTGAATTTCCTCAAAGGTAAAATGGAACTGAAAATACTTACCTCACAGGTTATTTTAAGGCTTAATTGAGGGAATGTGTGTAAAATGCCTATTCTACAGAGAGCACTCAATAAATAATAAAACTTAATATTGCACTTTTAGTCTGTGTGGCAATGTTTGTGTCTACCTATACCTATGAGATACACACTACTAGGTCTTTAAAATAGCTCGTTGAGATAGATACTATTAGTAGAAACAATTTACAGGTGAGGAAATTGAGTATAGAAAGCGAGGCTTGCTCAAGGTTACACAATTGGTACAAGGTGGAGCCAGAGTTTGTGCTCAGGTAGACTGGTTCCAGAGTTCATCCCGTTAACCACTATACTGAAATGCCTCTTAAAGAAAACGTAAGCTGGTATTTTATTATTAATTGAAAGTGAGTAGTTTAGATAGTTTGTCACTGGGTTTTTGCCTCTCATTGGTATAGGAGGCCAATGTACCATAATGACCCAGAGTTACAAGAAATTTAGGTTTCAATATGAGTTCTGCCATATAAGCAGTGTGACTTTGAGAAAGAGCTTCAGTTTCCTCACTGGTGAAAAGAGGTTATACATAATCTCACTATTTGTAAACGAGGAGGAGGTTCTTCACAAATGTTGAAGACTGACACATTTGTGCATATGTTGGGGAGTCTGTACCTGGATGTGGGTAGGGTATCTGGACCTAGAGGTCTTAATGTATACTGTGCAGTGCAAATGCCTGTAGTATCAAGGCTGCTATGAGGTAGAGGGCACAGACAAAACTACAGAATAAATCCTGGTTACCCTTAATTTTCTTTCCCCTTTAAATTCTGTCTCTCAAATGCCTTTCTGTAATCATGCCTGAAAAGTCCGTCCTTTTTCCAACCAATTTTGTCATCAACCTGTGTCTCATAATTAGTATAATTTTCTTCTCCAAGTAACCCCCCTTTCCAGTTCTCAGAGCTAAGGCAACATTTTAAAAAATAATATACCAAGGCAGTATCTCCCAAATTTTGTTATCAGATATGTAAGATAATTTGAGTAAGCACATAAGCATTAAAAACTATTTCTTAAAAAAAAAATTGCAGGCACATATTTGAAGAAAACAAAAAATCTGTTTTAATATAAATTAAGAGGAAAAACCTAGTACCTCAAAACTAATTTCACTGTGCTGTTGGTAAGGAGAGGTCAATTGAAAGATCTATAGTAGATAAATAATAGTACAGGTAGATATGACAAAAACTCTGAAAATAATATTTGGATAACTGAATTTTGGGAAATAATTAAAGAGGCATTTGTGAAAGCATCTTGATAAAAAAAAGTATATCTAAAATGTACTTATACAGTGAGATTTACTTTTTGAGAGATTGCTTTCCTGGTACCTTGTGCTCACAGTCATTACCCCACAAAGTTCTGAAGGGAAGTTAGCATCTCATTATATTGTGTCTAAATGGTTGCTATATTTGTTTGACATTCAGAGAATTTATTTTCTTCATCCTTTACATAAATGTTTACCCAGCCCTGACTAATCCATTGCCCCCAGTAGTTGTTAGCTGGGGAAAGGATATACAGGCTAGTACTCAGATTCCCTATGAAATGCTGACTTAAAGTCTTAAATTTATGTTAACAGGAAAATGAATCAGCAGTTTAAAAGTATATCTATGGCTTTGATAAAACCACTGCTTCCTCTTAAATTTCCATGCGGTTGTATAATCTTCTCTTCCTAAATTCTCACCGCTTCCTCAACTTCCTAGACTCCAAGGGACTTAATCCTAATTTGACATTGAGTTTCGTGAAAGGTGTCTTTTCTACCAGCACAGTCCAGATAACATTTAAGGGACTCTGTTAAGTATCCCAGGTAAAATGATAAAAGTGTGGAGGTATATTTATTGAGTTGATTGGAGATTGCTTATCCTAAGGTGATTGAAATTTGCCTATAAATTACTCAAGCCTGGCATTGTTTATTGACTTGGGTTTCTTCTACTAGTTCACAAGCTAGATTAAATCACATTGGCAAGAGATTTATCTCTCAGATAAATCTCAAACAGTTTTCTTACAACCTTACAAGAACTTGGACAGGAAATATCACTGGTATGCTCATCTTTTAGTTAGAAGCTAAAAGGTATGCATTAGTAATATCTGAAATGCAACTTTGATCATAGTTTTCCAGTTAGTTAAATGTGGGCAACACAGCTTTCATTGTGCTTGCTCTTTTCATGTGAATTTCTTTAATTCAGGACTGATGCTTCTTGATGGTGAGATGTATTCCAAATATCTGGCATACAGATCATAATAAATGTTAAGTGAATGGAACTTACAGGTTGGTATTCTTTTCTCAGCATATATTTTAGAAAAAATGAATCATATCTTTCTGTCCAAGTCATTAAAGAGAAAATAGTAATTTTGAAGATTATAGGAAAGTTGGTACCCAATAATAAAGGTTGTTCCTATATTTCTGTTAGGTTCCTAGAAAGAGCAGGCATCAAATAATGCTTTTAAATATTAAGAATATAGATGTTTGGCTGCAGTTATAACCCTGCTCCTATTCCCAGATTGGTCATTGTGTTGCAGTATACTTCTGCAAGACAGAAGTTTTAATTTCCATAATAAATGCTGAAGGGTATGAAGTAAGGCATTTTCCTTACATCAAGGCTAAATGTTTCCCTTGTGGTTTAATAAATAAAACATGGTAACAATTTTAAAAGGGCTTTGTAGTACAGCTATTATTCTTTGAGGGATCCTAATTTCTCTTGTCTACTACTTTAAGAAGAGGACCTGGTTTTATAGGAAAAAAAAAAAGATTTGGATATATCATGTTGGCACTTTAATTTGAAGATTCCATTATGGTAAAACCTATTTTAATTCCTACTGGTTTTTCCTTTTAAATAAATGGAGAAGAAAACTGTTAAAGGGTAATGACATTGATACCTGGCTATTCTCTCATTTTGTCATGCAAAGAGAAAAAGTGGGAAATAAATGTAATACATTAGGTTTATTATTTGGGTTAGTTTTTTTTTTGTCTCAGTTACCATCATGAATGGATGGTCAGAGTTCAACTTTACACAGCAATGAAAATTAGAACCCACTAATTTCTAAATCTGGTATTGTATTTTTTGTGATAGCACACACACACACAAACATGCATTTACATATATATACATATGTGTGTGTACTCAGTTTTTTACCAAACATCTGAATTTTGCCACTCTTTAAATTACTTTTTACAAATACTTTAAATTACTTTTTACAAATACAGCATTCATTGCTGCATCGTGATATGCTTTTTGGACATAATTTATTTAATCATCCCCTGGATGTTTAAGTTGTTTTTGTTATTTCTGTGAAAGAATATCTTTTTTTTTTTTTTTAAAGATTTTTAAAGTTTATTTATGCATACAGAACTGGAGTACTGACCAGAGGTGCAGGGGCGTTGAGAGGATTCACGTGAGACAGGGTAGGGAGCAGGATGGGCGGATTGACGAAGTTCACTGCTCAGGGGAGCAGCGGGCGGGTCAGAAGAGCTCTGCCTTGCCATGTGGATCATCTCTGGGGCTGGGATCGAACTTGTACTGAAGCAGCTGTGGCCGGCCAGCTTGCAGTGTTGCGCTCTAACCTACTGCGCCACCAGGGAAGGCCCGAAAGAATGTCTTTTTAATTTAAATTTTTGTATCTGATTACTTTCTTTAGAAAAGGGTTGCATATTTAAATTTATCGATATCAAAGGCTACAACCAAAGTGTTAGATAATGTTGCTTACCTCAGTATTTACTTCTATGTGAGAATGTCAGAAATCAGCACTGTTTTAGAAAACTAATTTGTTAGGGAAAGCATAGTATGCCATTGCTTTAATTAGTATGTGTTTGATTATTAGTGGATTGTACATTTTTGCATTATATTTGTCAACTTTGGCTTTAATTAGTATCTAACCCAAATTGTTCATTTTGTTTTAGGTCTTCTTTCTTGATTGAGATGTCTATGATTTTATCTGCTTCCGTCATTCGTGTCAGAGATGGACTGCCCCTTTCTGCTTCTACTGACTATGATCAAAGCACAGGCGTGCAAGAGTGCAGAAAGTATTTTAAAATGCTCTCAAGAAAACTTGCTCAACTTCCTGATAGATGTACATTGAAAACGGAACATTATAACATTAAGTAAGACTTCAGTTTACTCCATTAAAATCACCTGCTAAGTGGTTTTAATGTCAATAAAGATTAAGTGGTTGCAGTAGAAACTAGTGTTTGATTAACTTAAGGAAACTTGTTCCATTCAAGAATATTCACTTATATTAAATATTCATCATTTTGTCATGATTTATGCAGCTATTCTGTGTTTATATCTGCCTTTAGAAATTTTTTTTGCAGATCACACATAGTCTTCCTTATATACTGGGTATTTATTGGATTTCTTATTTGTGCAGGCACACTGTAGTGGAAAATTTAAAAACTTTATGTGATTACCTCTTCTCAGAACAGAACAAGGGTTACATTCTAGTGAGAGGGTATAGCACACATCACTGTTGTATATAAAGAGTAAAACTGGGCAGTGGGGTGGAGAGTTACTTTATGGTAGTCGGGCTTAACTGAGAGGATGTCATTTGAGCAGAGATCTAAATGATAAGAAAGAAGGCAGTCACAGGAAGGATGCTATGGATGAGGAACAGAGGTAATGCCAGTACAGAAGACCTTCAGTACAGACCAAGGGATGGAAAGAAAGTCATATTGGAAGCAAGATGAATTATTAAAAGAGTGGCAGAAGATGAGCTTAAAAAGTTAATAACAGGACAGGTTATATAGGAATTTGTAGGCTGTGATAAGGAGTTTGGATTGAGTCTAATTTAATAAGTAGCCATTAGTAGCCATTAGAGAGTTTTAAACTGGAGGGAGAGTTATATATTCTGATTTTGGCTTTGAATTAATAATCTTGGCTGCTCTATGTAAAATGGACTCTAAAAATAAAAGCAGAAAGGTCATTTAGGAGACTACTGGAGAAGGTCAGGTAGAGGTAATGCTTCTAATTTGAATGGTAGTGATAATAAGAGGTGGCTGTGTTTAGCTCTATTTTGGAAGTAGCACCGACAAGTCTACCCAGATGATTGAGGTGGGATGTAAGAGAAAGAGGAGAATCAAGAATCATCTTTGATTTTTGGCCTGAGGTACTGAGGTGGATAATGGGGCTGAAATGAGTAGGACTGAAAGATTAGGATTTTATTGGTAAATCTCGAGAGTTTTATTTGGGCACTTTAAGTCTGAGATGCCCACTAGACATCCCAGAGGCACTGTAAGTGAGACCTCTGATGCACAAATCTGAAATTTAGTGAGAAAGGACAAGCATGGAGACTTAGATTTGGAGTTTAGCTTATAGTTAAAACTGTGGGAATAGATAAGCTTGGAGAGCATAACTGAAACAATCAGAGAACAGTTAACTCCTTAGCACTTTGACACTAATAAGTTTACTCAATAAGAACAAGGTTCATATGAATTATGATAAAGAATGTTTCACTATTGCAATGAGACCTGAATCTTGTCCTGAAGAATTAGTAAGTTTTGGCTAAGAGAGAGGAAGACAGTTCCAGTGTGGGAAAGTAGGGCAAAATAAGAATGTGACTTAGCATGTAGATGCATTAATCTGCTTGGCCTGATGTAGTGAAATGATGGTTTAGGAATAGTTTATGAGAAAGGTGAGCTAATTAGCATGGAGCCAGATCTTGAATTTATCTGATAGTTCATATTAACAGATGACACTTTGATATAAAAGGTTATAGGGAGGTGTTACTACAGACTTGAAGGAAGTGATGTCAGTAATAAAAATAATGCTGATGTGTGAAATATAGGGTAAAATTGAAAATCTGAGAGGAAAGATGTCAATTTATAATTAGGGCCTGAACTGATAAAATACAACTGCAAATGAAAATACGCCAACTAGAAAAATGCTTCAAAAGACTGTTAAGCCTGGAAAGATCAAGTATCAGAGATAAGAGCAGGAAGGGACAAAGGTGACTGAAACCTTGGATAAAATGAAGTCTTTGGAAATGTCTTTGATTACAGAGGATGTGGAAGATAACAGAGCTCACAAGGCAGTCCAGTTGAGGTGGTGTAGACATTTTGGAATCTTTAGCATAGATGTTGAAACTGAGGGTAGAAATTCCCACTGACACTTTCAGAGCTTACGATAAAACCTTAACAAAGATCTGTAATTACTTAGATCTCCTGGGTCATCTGTAAGATAAGGAATTATCTTTCATTGGGTTTTCTAAAGGTTTAAACTAGAAAATATGTTCATTGTATCTAAAGTATACCAGAAATTATGCCTTAGCTTGTTTCTTCTTCTTTTCTTTTTTGAGGAGAAAAACTTGAAATATTTATTTGAATGTCAGTTTTGTTTAGTGGTGTAAGTCACTCTGAATTTCAGTTGTTACTGTATAGTGCTTTAAGCAGGTGTCAACATTATAGAATATTGGCTTGAATGTAAATTCTAGAGATAGCCTGGACTTAAAAAAAAAAAAAGCATTTTGCAAACCTTTTTTGTTCCTCTGCCTTATTCTTTCAAAAGTTGAGTAACATGTAGTAAAAATTTTGACATTTGTCCAATTCTGTTTATTGTGAATTCTTTATTTGCATTCCATCTTATTCCATAAAGGATGTGAGGCATTTTACCAAAAAAAAAAAAAAAAAATCAAGTGTACAAGTAAGAGAATCACATGAAGGAAAAATTAAGGTAGAATAGTAAGAAATAACATTTCCTTCTAGAAATGCAAATTAAGTAGTCTATTCATTTGTTAGAAAAGGGTTCCAAATAGTGAGTGGTCTGAGCTTCCTGGTGGCCAAAACAAAGGGTGTTAATGGAATTATCGGAATCACTGTGTCCTTAGAATAAAAGCATTACTTTTCTGTTACTAAGACCTGAAGTATATAATGAAAGACTGTGTTTGGATAACATTCTTCTGGCAGGCTTAACAATGAAATTTTTTTGTGATTTTTATTATAATATTCCTTAATGTAAGCGTGTGGCATGATACAAAAAGTAACTGAGAGAGTTTAGGAGTAGAATCAAACAGAAGTCTAATCTGGCCTGGTCTAAGGATACAATATGGAAATGTGTAAAGGAATAAATAGAATACATAGTTTTCATAACCATGCATAGAAAAGACTCTATGCATGTTATTTTTGTAGCAAAGTTTTAAGAAAGGATTGAACAGAAAATTTTTAGTTCTAGTTTCTGACAAGAACCTGGATTTTATTATTTATCATTTATTAGAAATCTTGTTTTTTTTTAACTATTTCTTTTTTCAAGATTGATTTATTTATGGATACAGAAATGGGGGTACAGGCCAGAGGTGCAGTGATGGTGAAAGGATTCACCAGAAACAGAATGGGGAGCAGAACAGGCCGACTGATGAAGTACACTGCTGAGGGGAGCAGCAGGCGGTCAGGCGAGGTCTGCGGCACCATGTGGGTCACCTCTGGGGCCGGGAATCGAACTCGCATGCATTGAAGCAGCTGCAGCTAGCTTGCAGTGCTGCGTCCTTACCCATTGTGCCATCAGGGAGGGCCATATGAGAAATCTTGCTAAGGGTCATTATAGTATATGGTACTTTAGATGTATAAAATTATATATAAAACATAATATAAATTAGAAATTTGTGTTTCTGGATTTACTTAAATTCTCATGTGATTACTCTAACCACTACCATGCGTTTTCCAGAAAAACTTACAGATCTTCAGTAGTAGTATAGCATAGCCTGAAACAGGAACCAGCTGCCCATCTGCTTGTATAGCCATATTTCTAAGCATTCCTCTTTTCTATAAAACCTTACCTTCTTGTATTATCTTGTTCCTCATTGCCACTATTTCATTGCTTTAATGATCTAGTCCCTTCACAGATAACCTGCAGAACTTGTTTGATTTTTTAATCTTTAAAATTTTTAAAAATTTTATTGGTAAATTTCTAGATCTGTGACTCAGTTGTAATACAGGAATAATTGATCTGCCTTAGCTTATATCTTTTTTGATTTCTTATGTATTAGTATTGTGGATTTTAAATCTGTATAGAAATTGAGGTGTTTGCAGAATACCACTGAGAACCAAAACACAGTAATGCTTAGTCAGATGACACCTCATATCAGATTCTAGGTCCTTCCAGTTGAAGGACAAAAATTGGAAAGTGACCAGTGCCTGGTGACTGTTATAGTAGCTGCTAAATGAGAGATGTTGTTTGTTTTGGGGATATGGCAGTGTTCAAAGTGCCATGGAGGTAAGTCTTTATTTCCTCCAAAATTCTTCCACTTGGCTCATGAGCGTGGATGTGCTTGCGCACGTGCACATGCGCACAGACTGCATGCGTGTGTTTTCAGCTCTCCAGAAACAATTTTAAGGAGTCCATCTGTTTAAGTTGAAGGATACTTTCCTTAGATTGTAATAAATATTTACCTTATAAACTTATGCCATTAGAAACAGCAGTGACTAAACCAGTAGTGATAAGCCATTTGAAAAATATGTCATGAAATACTTAAACTTTGAGATTGATTTGGAGGGGTTTAAAATTACAGTTGTAAACTTGAGTATTACAGACAGTGATCTTATAAATAGACAAATTGTAGGGCAAGAAGTAAAATTTCTTAGGGGTTCTACTGCAAATTCGTTTGAAGTCTGTTAATGACTGAGCCTCCATAGATTCTCTCCTCACCAAAGGATTTACTTTCTACAACTTACTTTCCCCAAACTCCTACTACCAGTCGGGAATGCTGCTTTAGACTTACCTACCTTTTTATTTTAGTTTCTAGCAGTGCTTTCCTTTCACCCTTTGGTGATATTTTTTTATTATATGTGTAACAACTATAACAATCATCCAGTTATTAAGTAGCTGCAATTGCCAGGCACTTTACTTTCGTTATCATTAAATTTGGGAATAGCTCTGTGAATGACTAATAACTGAACTCTTCTCCGTTGTGAAGGGTAGAAACACAGCCTTACACTAGCAAGCAAAAAAGGATATAGTGAAGGGTGAGGTGGCTGTGGATAACAGTTGGAGCCAAGAACTTAGCTCCAATTTTTCCAGTCTCTCTCTCTCTCTTTTTTTTTTTTTTTGGCATGTGGGTGTTTTCCTTGTTTTTGAAAATGCTATACAGAAAGCTCAGTGCTTACTTCATTCCAGC